GCTCCGCGAGCTCTGCCGCCAGTGGCTGCGGCCCGAGACCCACAGCAAGGAGCAGATGCTGGAGCTGCTGGTGCTGGAGCAGTTCCTGGCCGCCCTGCCCGGGGAGCTGCGGGCCCGGGTGCGCGCGCAGCACCCGCGGAGCGGGGAGGAGGCGGTGGCGCTGCTGGAGGACTTGGAGAGGGAGCTGGACGAGCCTGGGCAGCGGGTGAGACGCGGAGGTGCCGTCCCCTGGAGAGACTTTGAACGCGCAGCTCCAGGATGAGGCTGGGGGGGTGGATCAGCGTCGCCCTGGTCGCTCCAGCGTTGGGTTTGAGTACCTGTTCGTCATTTCATCGGTGAATAGGCTTTCGCTTATAACAGCTTTTGTGTGATAACTGTTCCAAATGAGATGACTTAACCAAATAGGAAACCTTGCTCTATTTTTATAGTAGAGATTTTATTTAATGATTGTAAGATTCAAGAAATGTGTTAGGTAAATGTATAAAATAATTACTATTCTGTGTATCTCCTGTTACGATAGGCACTACTTTTACCATACATGAAAATAAGTCAGCGTAAGAATACGAGAAACATCTTCTAGAAGAGAGAAACACGGAAGTAGCTTAGAGGCAGGTATGGTGCCCCATTTCTGTAGGAAGACTGAGCCAGAGGGGTCACAAGTTTGAGGCCAGCCTGAGCAATTTAGAGAAACCTTGTGTCAAAAAAGAAAAAGGGTTGAGGTTGTGGCTCAGTGGCAGAGCAGCTGTCTAGCAAGTGGGAGACCTTGGGTTCCATTTCCAGTACTGCAAAGAGAGAGGGGACAGAAGGGGAGCGGGGAGAAATTCAGTGGCAGTGTCAGAAAAGATCTGGTTGATTATATGGTAGGCCGTGTCACTAAGAATACCTAGAATTGTTGGTATGTGAAGTGTTATGAGTACAGTATTCTATTCAGAAGAATGTTAAGTCTTCTTCATTATACCAAAGTCAACAGAGTAATACTGCCTTCTGTGATAGTAGTTTTAGAATACCGTGGATACTGCTAGACATATTTCAGGGATGATATTACCTGTATATTTCTCTGGTCTCTTTGAAGATGAACTTTTATGTTTGCAGTTTTACTGGTTAAAACACAAGTTTGTGGAATGCAGAATCTTCGAAATGAGGTCAAACTAATGCTGAAATTTTCCTGGCTTGTATGTTAGTTTTTTCTAGCAAGTTGTTTGAGGTCACCAAGTAAGAACAACTGAGTTCCAAGTATCTGATTAATTGTAGATGAATATTGAAGCAAACCATAAAGACATAATATCCTACATCGTGCCCCTTATCCCCCCACACCTTCTGTTTGGCTGTCTTGGCCACACACTGTCTTGAAAGTGGTTAATTGCACACAAACCCATCTTCGTGCATTTTTTGCTAAGCACTTCTGTATTCCAGGAAATGAGCAAGGTGAGGGGTCCACAGTGCCATGGAGTCATGCTGGTAGTAACATTTCTGATAGAGTGTGAAAGAAGATGAGCTTTGACAGTTGAAGCAAAGCTTTAAATTGTAAAGTGTTTGGAAAGAATTGAGAGAACCTGTGGTTGTACACCCATCATGAAGAAGTCAGTGTTACATACAACTAGAAGCAGTGCTGGGAAAGTAAAAGAAAGTTATCTAACAGGAACAGCTGCTACCAACTCCGTTGGAACAAGGCATGCAGAAACAAGAAGTGGAACATTTATTAAGTGTGTGGGTTTTTAATACCAAAGAAGATGCAATCTAGTGTGTCCTTTCTCAGAATTAAAGAGAAACCCTAAGACGGTGGTGATGAACCTATTCCATATGTGGTGCAGTGGTTGGCTCTCAAGGCACGTCGCCCTAGCATGCCTGCAGCTGAGCATCAGGTAACGGTGCGTGTACGGGCCATGTCCATTCTCTAAAAGGACTAGTGACACCATGTGGTGAAGTAGTGAGCCATGGCTCATTAGGCACAGCTTGTTTTAGCTTTCACGTGGCTGGTCAGTGCACTGTCAAGGTGTATATACATTTGCTTGGACTGCCTGTGTGTTTAGTTTTGTTTTTTGGTACTGGGAATCAAACTCAGTATCTTGTGCTTGCCAGGTGGGCACTTGTGCTGCTGAGCTATATCCCCGGCCTTACTGTGAGTTTTAATAAATCTGTTTTTATTAACAGAAGATTTTAGCTTTGAATTTTCTTATGAAAAATCAAAATTTAATATCTAAGATTTAGCAAAGATGTGTTCTAATTAAGAGACTGAGAGTCTTTTTTTTTTTTTTTTTTTTTTTTGAGACAAGGTCTCACTGTGTAGAGCAGGCTGCCCTTAAACTCAGTTATGTATCCCAGGCTGGCCTCAACTCCCTGTGATCCTCCTGCCTCAGCTTCCCCAGTGCTGGGATTATAGGTGTGTACCACCACACCTGGCGAGAGTCTTTCAATGTTGTGGTATCCTTCTGACATTTGAATCTGCAGCATCATGTTGAGTTGTTTGTTAAGAATTTATGAAAACAAGAGCAAGGATTTATTTATATATATTTGGTTGAATTGACTGTGATTCCAGCAGAAGCCCCACAGGGTAGGAAATGCACTCAGATCCCTTTTTCCAGGCAGGCCAAAAGCTGGTAGTCAGTGAAGCATTGCCCTTCTGTGCTGGTGGTCAGCAAATGCAAGAGGAACTGCAGCTGAGATTCACTGCCATAGATTGTTGATTCGGGGAATGGCCAGTTCTTCAGTGTTCACTGCTAGTGTTAGCTGTTTTTGGCATAGGGATAGATTTGTGTTGGGTGCTTCATTTTTTTTTTTTTTTTTAATTTTGTGTTTTTGTAGAGTCCAAGTCTTGAACACCAAAAAGTGACTACAGCAAAAAAAGCAAAACTGAAACCAGATAGTGGAAGATCATTCCAAGAGGCCTGGACAGAGTCATTCGGGGTGATTGAACGCAGTGGGAAAGCGTTATGTATTCTGTGTAGTAAAAGTGTTGTGTGTCGCACATCAAGTGTCAGACGGCACTTTGACACCAACCACAGAAGTGTTGCCGAACTTGGTGAAACTGAAAGGAAAGAATTTCTTGAAGGAAAATTGAGGAAGTACCATTTCCAGTATCTTAGTTTTTGCAACTATCTTTCTAAAACAAATCATCTGACAGCTGCCAGCTTTCAAATTTCACTGAGCATAGTAAAACATGGTAAGCCCCTCTCTGATGGGGATTTTATCAAAATGGCTATGTTGTCTGGGAGTGATTCCCTTTTTCATGATTTCCCAAATAAGGACAAAATTATACAACGCATCTCTGAGATGCCCCTTAGCAGAAATACTGTTAAAGACCGGGTGCTTCGCATGGCAAGTGATGTTAGTCAGCAGCTCACCACTGACTTACAAAAGGCAGCCTGCTACTCCGTGTGCTTGGGTGAAAGCACAGACATAAATAACCATGTAAGCCTAGCTGTAATTTTGCGTTATGCTGTTGGTGACATCATGAGAGAAGAGCTGGTGAAGCTGGTGTCTTTGCCTGGAAGAACACAAGGGGTAGACATCTACAATGCTGTGATGGAGGCTTTTTTGTCACAAGACATAAGACCAGAAAAAGTGGTTTCAATTACTAGTGATGGGGCACCTTATATGGTGGGGGCAACATCTGGTTTCATACAATTCTTTGCTCAAAAAACAAAACACCCAGTCATTCAGTTTCATTGTATTATACATCATGAAGCTCTCTGTGCCAGGGAAAGCAGCAAAAAATTCGACGATATCCTCAAAGATGTCAGCAAAATGGTGAATTACATCATGGCTCATGCTCTTAATTTTGAACAGTTTCAAGTGCTTCTTGCTGAGGTTCAGGCACAGTATAATGCTTTACTTGTGTACAGTAATGTCTGGTGGCTGAGCAGAGGACGAGTCCTGGAGAAATTTGTAGCCTGCTTGGATGATATTAGGCTGTTTATGAATGAAAAAGGGCAGGAATATCCACAGCTCACTGATATGGCCTGGCTTAATAACCTCATGTTTTTTACAGATTTTATACTACACTTCAATATACTGAACAAAAAACTACAAAGTGTAGGGAAAACAGCAGAGAGGATGTTTTGTGATATCAAAACGTTTGAGAGAAAACTACAGGTTTTTGAAAGAGACTTAGAAAATGGGCAGCTAAAATATTTTCCAAGTCTAAAAATGCATTTAGAAAATTGTACGTTTACAGAGAATCCTGTAAACTATGAGGAAATCTACAAGGAATTTTCTAGCATTGTAGCAGCTGCAAAGGAGAATTTTAGTAACAGATTTTTACAGTTCCGCAAGATGGAGACAACCTTGTGTTTTCTTACTTCTCCAGATAAAGCCATATTTGAAGAACTTGATCTTTCCTGCTTATACTGGTTAGATTGTGGAAATCTGGAAATGGAACTATTGGAATTTCAAGAAAGCTCTATCTGGAAAAACAAATTCTGTGACTTGCGTGCAACACTTGAGGAGATAGAGAAGACAGAGTGTGAAGGGAGGACAAAGGACAGCACAGTCGGTAGTTCTGAAAATGAAATCCTTAAAGTGTGGAATTCGCTGCCAGATAATTTTAAGTCAATGAAAGCACTTGGGATTGCTTTTCTTACTTTGTTTGGATCATCTCATGCTTGTGAGCAGCTGTTTTCAGCTTTGAATTTTATTAAATCTGATAGAAGAAACAGACTAACAGATGACCTGAGTGCTGCATATGTTGCTCTCAAACTAACAAAATATGAGCCAAGGTTTGACAAATTATCAGCATGCATACAACAGCAAAGATCACATTAACTGTGCAAAAGCACACCAAATGCAAATTCCTACTTTTCAATAAAAAAAATTTGTATCTTTGAAAGCTCTATTACTGTGTTTTTCTTTTAATACATGAGTTGTTTTTTCTAACCTAAAAATGCAGTATTCAAGCATAATTGCGATGTTGGCCCTTTGTAATAAATAAGTGGGTTTTGGGTTGCAATTTGGGTACTCAATCTCTAAAAGGTTCTTCATCACTGCCTTAAGATATGAAGACCTTGGGAAAACTGAAAATATTGTGGAAGTGCTGTCAAGTAGTGGCTAGTTTTGTGAGTTCAGGAACTGGGTCCCAGCCCTACTATCACAAACAGAAAGGACATTTTATTGTCAAATACAGAAGTACAGTGTAACATTTGATTATTTATTTGTTTTGTTTTGTTTTTCTGAGACAGGGCCTCACTGTGTAGTTCAGGTTGGCCTTGGATTCTCTATATAGGCCAGGCTGTCCTTGAACTTGGCGGTGATTCTCCAGCTTCAGCCTTGTACATGCTGAGATTACAGGCATGCACCACTACACACCGTTGATTATTTAATATTTTCAGTGTATATAAATGGGGAAATGATAAACTTTAGGTAGCTTAAATATATCAGGATATACAGATCAATAGTATTTTGTGGTAATTTGAGTTGTGTCCAATTTCATGTTTATACGTATAATTTAGTTGAACAATAAATAACATTTTTAACACATGGCTAAAAACTTATTTCTGCATTATAATTGACTCATATCATGGCAGCTTCTTTTATAGAACCACTATGTGTGTGTGTGTGGGGGGGAGTTGCCTTTGCTTTTTTTTGGTTTATTTTTTTGGTTTGTTTCATCTTTTTGGGACAGGGTCTCGCTTTGCAGTTCAGGCTGGCCTTGAGCTCACTTTGTAGCCCAGGCTGGTCTTGAACTTGGCAACGATCCTCCTGCCTCAGCCTCACAAGTGCTGGGATTACAGGCATGCACCACCATGCTCTGCTAGGGTTACCTTGTTTTGAATTGCTATAATTGCTTCCTATTGCATAATTTGTCACTGTTTGGCATTGAAAATCCTAACTGCAGAAAATATAATTTCCAAGCAATATGGTTTAATAGACTTACTTTTTCCTGTACCAGATCTAGACAAACTCTCATGTGAATATGTAAAGTACTGTAGGTCAGTAAGAAAAAAAGTACTCCAATGGAAAAATCAACAGAGGACTTGAATACCTACTTTAAGAAAAACGAGTAACTAATTGATCAATAAAATTATAAAACTTACTAGTAATCAGAAAATGCAAATTGAGAGTATGTGGTACCATTTTATTTTAACCAGTGTTTTAAAAGTTGAAACATGGGTAAGTTTTAGGATGTTGAGCTGCTGGAATGATTATGTACTATTGGAGTAAATTTTTATGACCATATTGGAAGTATCTGCCGTGTTTAACTCAATGATTCAGCAAACCTGCTACAAGGTATACATCAATAGAAACCTGTAAAGACACATTAAAAACAATATTCACAGCACCCTTATCATAACTGCCAAAAACTCTAAACAATTCAATACCTATTAAGAGTAGAATGAGGCCTGGAGGTGTAGTTCAGTGGTAGAACAGGTGATTAGCATGGGTAAGGTCCTGGGTTCAATTCCCAGGATGAAAAAATAAAAACTGTGGGACAGGTGAATATATTGCATATTTATGCAAGTGAATACAATAATGAAGATGTTTGAACAGTTATTACAGCAATGGGGATGAACTTTTACAAGCCTAATTTAACCAAAGAAGCCAGACAAATGTGAATAGCTATCCCATGGTTCTGTTTATGTAAAATTCTAAAGGCGAATGAATCTATGCTGGTAGATGTCAGGGTAGTAGCTGCTTTTGTGGGAAAGCTGCCACACTCTGCTGGAAGCTGGCTTCGTACTCGGCCCCCAGTTGAACAGTCCAAGCCTGTTTTCACTGTGGTGTACTGAACTGGTGCAGTTCAGTACGTTTCTGTTCTCAGGGAGATTGTAGTTTTTTGAAGAACTGTTGCTTACAATATTAGAATTAATCATGGAGGTATGATTAATCCTAGAGGCTGTTATCCTCTTCAGGCTGCTTTATTTTTTATTTTAAAAATTTTAATTAAATAATTTTTATTTGATTTATTTTTTCTGAGCAGGGTCTTGCTGTATACTTTGGACTGGGTTTGAACTCACTGTGTGACCCAGTCTGGCCTTGAACTCATGAGAATTCTGCCTCAGCCTTCCAAGTGTTGAGATTATAGGCATGCATCACTATGCCTGGCTTTAAGGGTGCTTTAGGAGCTTATTTGCTATTGGATACTTATTTTCATGACATACCCACTACATCTCACAATGATGGAATGCTTAAATGACTAACAAAGATCCTGAAGTAGAAGTGGTTAGAGGTTCTGTAAGTCAGTGAAAACTCTCCAAAGTTAGAGTAGTATAAACAGTGTGATACAGTTTGTGGGGAGGTGGGGCCTTAAGGCTTCAGACTTCATCATGGAAGTTATAGGTTCATATTGTTTTGGGGGGATGTTATAAGTTGACTATGCAAATCCAGTGTTACACAAATGGAAATTCTACATAGGTACATGCAGAACTTCTGTTACCTTCTTGGATTACTCTAAGGCTCTGCTGTTGGATACTGACTCATTTCTAGGGTTGGCATCAATAACAGATGGTGTGACAGTTGCACTTCCAGGCCTGATTTTACAGAGACCTAGTAAATTTACATACATACTGAAATAAGGAATACAGTAGAGAATTGAATAGGTTGTTTGGATTTCCCAAGGATTAAAATCTAATCAAATACCATTGTAACAAATAGCGACAGTGGATAATTTGGAGGTAAACGTGGTTTTATATTAAAGATACATTTCTTTTAAGCATTCTCTAACTCACTAATCAGTTGGTCTCAGTTCAAGTTCTAACAGAAGTGTTTTTCATTGAGGATAGAAATTTATTCATATTGAATATTTAAATAACAGTACTTTTCAGTTAGTGGTAATAATTTTTTTTTTTTCAGTTTTCTGAGACAGGGTCTCATTGTGTAGTCCATGCTGGTCTTAAACTCACTATGTAGCCCAGGCTGGGCTCAAACTCATGGTAGTACTCCTGCCTCAGCCTCCTGAGTGCTGGGGTTACAGGCATGTGCACCACACCTGACGGTCCTTCGTATGTTATTGCCGAAAAACTTGTAGCTCCTTTCATCTGCTAATCACTGTCTTCCTTACTTAGCCATATAATCATTGCAGCAAAAGTCCAAGAGAAATAACATGCTACTTACAAGTAAAAAGTCAGCAGAACCCAGGAAAGCTGAGAAATGGGCAGCCTGCTCACCGAAATCAGTTCTGATAGGGCTCCTGGAGTAGATAATACCGCAGTGAGATCGCCAGTGCGCACAAAGCATAAAGGTAATGGAAAGTTAATTTCTACCCACTATCTTAGGAAATACAACTAACTGCTTAGTTACAGAAGAAAATTGTTAAAACCCACGAACCTCATTCGGGTTTGTAAATTAAAGAATTGCTAGGAAAAATAACTAAAGAACAGGGAAATGGTCTTACCTAGATACTAAGATGCCAAAAAGCCTTTTTAAATAAAACTGGTAGTGACACATGGCACATCAGTCAAGCAATAGAAAGTACAAAAAGCCATATCAAGAAAGATGATTAAATTCTATGTAAAAAATTTAAATATGGACACGCAAAAGCCTACAGGCAAAGCCAATGTATTGATGAAATTATTTGCAAAATACATCAGGAATACAACCTCATCTTACCAGAAATAACCTAGGTTGAATCCCCAGTACTGGGGGAGGAAAACAAATTTGATCTGAGCGTTGAACATTCTTAAAAAGGTTTTTAAATCCATACCAAGATGCTCAGCTCCAGTCATGATAAAAGCAAATCAAAACTACAGTGCAATTCAGTACATTTCAGGTACCATTTATCGACTGCCGGATTGAAGAAAAATCCAAAGCTTGACAGCACAGCCTGTTGGCCTGACAGGAAACAAGCCCTTCAGTATGTTGGTGGTGGGTGTACAGAATGGTTCAACCTTATAAAACGCATCTTGTCATTGACTAAGAACCCTAGCAGACACTTACCTTTTGACCTAGCAAGAACACTTCTGGGAATGAACTTGAAGATACATGTCTACGAGTAGAAATAAGGTAGAAATAATTCTTGTTGCAATTATTTGTAAATGCAAATGATTGCAAACAACCTAAACACTCACCCACATGAATGATTGAATAACCAACACTAATGCACCAAGTACAGCATCCTATGTAGGCAAAAAAAGAATAGGGATGATATCTATGAACTGGTGTGAAATGGCTTTTAGCTACTATTTTTATATGAAATGAAAAAAATGTGAACTAGTATATATAATATGAAGAAATAAACATGCATACTTTAATTTGTAAACATTCTTATGCAAACATGCATGCATATATGTGTATATAAAACATTTCTACATATTTTCACGAAAGTAAACACAGTGAAGCTTAAATTGAATTCAGAGGATTTAGGACTGTGGCAAAGGCTTCTCTGAAAAGATACTTCGATTTTTTGGTATATGTAAGTGTTTAGAGTATATTAAGTACAAAATGGTTAAACAGACACAAACGAACCCAACTGTATGTCAAACTATTAACAAACAGAAAAGTTCAGTTGGCTTGAACACAGTATTCTGAATATATACTCTTAGTGGAATGCTATTTGTGGACATAAGTAAATCTACATTGAATTTTATTTAGCAGGTATACTTTGGGAGTGTCCCACAGCACACAGTAACGTAATATTTCAAGCAATTCTGTATTTAGGCCAAAGCAAGTGAATCAAATAAATACATTGTTTTTAATTGTTTTTCATTATGACAGGAGATACCAATATGGAATGTGGAAAGTCAAGGAAACCCCTATAAGGTTAACACTAAATTAAATTGGTGACATTTCAGAAATGTATGTACCAACCCTAGTCACGAAAGGGCCTAGAGGCGATGACACCCCAGGGAGGATGAGCCTGCATATGCCTGACCTTTTGTTACGTAAAACTTTGCTCTGT